AAGAGGTAAAGCTGTATTCTCCTTGTACCAGGGAAGACAAACTGGTAGGTGGCAAGCAATCCCTGATAATGTGGTTCATTAGAATTACATTCTGCAGTCACAGCTCCATGGAAGTTTCCAAGCTTGTACTGATTATCTTTTTGCTGCAAGGGGGCTCTGGGAACTGCTGTTTTCTCCGTGGCACTAGCAAGGAGGTAACTATTCTAAAGCAAACCACAATGAAGTACTTTCTAGTTCTCAGTGAGAAGCAGTTACTCCTTAGCCATTCACTAATTACCATCAACTTCAAAATGAGGAAAACCTGAGTTTGAATTTACCAGAGAAACTAAGGGATCAAAACAATGTGTGCATATTTGGTGGGGAAGGGGTGGATTACTAAACCTACTGGTTCCAGAGATGTAAGATGGCATTTCCCAGAAGTTTCTCCACAATTACTTCAAAACAGAGCCTTTAGAATCTTATTCCTGGCTGTGCACAAAGGGTCTCTAAATTCCTTAGTATATCGTTTAGAATGTGTGACTTTAAGTATATGTTTTCTTCCTTATTCAAGAATAATGTGAGTAGCCCTGGCCGGGTGGCTCAAATGGTTAGATCATCATCCCATACACTTTACAAAAGGTTGCAGTTCACTTCCTGGTCAGGGTGCATACAGGAGGCAACCAATCGATGTTTCTCTCTCCCTTCTTTAAAATCAATAAACGTATCCTCGGGTGAGGATGAAAAAAAAGAGAAGAGGAATAATGAAGGTGGATGTAGAACAGGCTCCGAGATGACTACTTATATGTGGGAATGTAGAAGGAACAGCACTTTCTAGGCCCATGGAATAGGTAATTTTTAGTACTTTAAATATGTTTGGTCCCAATGGGTGAACTAAGTTCTCCCCTGATAAACAGCTTTATGTTGATTTCAAGTTCTCTGAACCTGTAAACCACTCAGTCTATCCAGCACTATTATAGCTGTTGCTTAATAACAGTGGTCAAACTAACCTTACAACGAAATTCAGACTAGAAAGGAACACCTCCCTATGGCTATTTCTGTTCACACATAGTGAGGGATCCAGATAAAAAGCTGTGCAAAGAGTTCTGAGAGGCAGCATCTTGTTCACATGAACTGAGTGAGCACAGCTCAGAACCGCGCAAGACTCCTGCAATGACATCTCCCCAAGAAACAGGTTTACATGATCAAATGCAAAACACATGACTCAGGTTAGAGAGAAACTTTAAAATGTGGGGGGGAAATATTACATAATACTTGAAAATGAAAATTTAAGAAGGTTTTCCCTGTGATGAAACTAATTAAATCTTATTTAACTGTTTCCTCTAATGATATCCATTTTAATTAGGTTTTAATAGACTGGCAGCCACAACCTATAGTTTTAAAAAGCAAAGTAAAATTACAGTCTAGGAAAACACTTAAGGAAAAGAGACCCATCAACACAGATGAGAGGTTACAACATATTCCCTCATCCCTAAAGACCCCCACGGTAATTATGTGTGCTGAATAGACAGCCATTAGGGCTAACAGTAGGTGTGCTCACCACCAATCAGCACTGGGTTGTTCTTTGAAATCCCAAGTCCTATCTGTGATCTGCTTTCCAGAAATCTGCATGTCCCAGAATAATGAAAGCAACTAAAGAGGTATGTGTTCTACAGAGCTATTAACTGTAGCCTCTGTCAAATGCGCGGCCTCTACCCCTGCAAAGGGTTTTCTGTTTTAAGATTTTAATACACACCTTTTCTTAGAGCTGATTACGACACAACAATCATCTTGAGAAGACTACCTTATGTTTAAGAAAATGAACATCATGTGGAGAAAGTAAAATTAATATCTGAAAAACGAATTCACATACAAGATAAATGTATCTGTAAATGAGATGCACTAAACAGGAGCTTACTAGTATGCATTTATATTTATTTCATACTACATTACTAAATCAGGAAGAAAATCACAAAAATTAACTCAAACCAAATGGATATCATAGACACTTATTTTAGAAAAGAAGAACTGGGCATAATAAGTTCCTTTGTTAGCCAGCAGATGGGGGAAGAAATTGGGCCTGTTGCTACCTCTAAATAAGTTTTACATATATTTATTTGAAAGACAAAGTTAAATGAATGTTATTTTAAAAACTAATTTTGAATCAACAACACTAAAATTTTAATTAATCACCTATACTCAGAATATTGTAAATCTTGGGGAAGGGCTATATCTAATCTAATGAAAAAATAAAATTTTGTAATCTGGCCAACAAGCTGATGCCTCCAAACGCCTCTGCCAAGAAGCAGAGTTACTTAGCCAAGATACTCGTACTTGCACACTTTCATCAGACTAAAGCTTTCATGCCAGGAAATCTTGTGTGTTTTTTTTCCTGGTGTATTGATCATTGCCAGAAATGGACCCATCGAATCCACCGGTGCTAAGGAGTTAAGCATCTGAGATTTAATTTAACAGTTTCAGCTTTATTAAGCTGTCACAGAGCGGCCCCACTTTGATAACAGTAGCTGCTCCAATTATGGCTTGGTTTAGGGTTGACAAGTATAATGATTCATTCGTGGCACATGAGAAGCAATAAAAGGTTGTTTTGCATTACAGCTTTAAAAATGTGGGCACTTTTTTCATTTAATTTGTCACTTAGCTTTTGCTAAGAGGACATTTAAATTGCAGTAAAAGGCAAATGGGGCTTTTAGTTTAAATGTAATCCCCATATTTAAATGATCTGTAATGGCGCAGTGCTGGAGTGGGAACACTATTGTCTCACAGTGGGTCCTGATGGTGACATGTGACATTTGTATTCAGGTCCTGTATTATCCATGTGGCTAAAGGGCTTCCAATTTCATTTCACAGCCAGAAGCCTGCAGAAAACACCAATTAACTTACAGATCCCATTTGCCGACAAAACTCAGCCTCTTCTCAATGTCTGGCATCTGGCAGTGCTCAGCATTTAATTCCAAAGCAGAGCCTTGAAGCAATGTGAGCCCAGTGCAGGGGCACAAAGTCAAATTCCCCCATTTTATTAGGAACCCAAATCCTTTCCTTTTGTAGTCTAGAAGCAACTTTCAGTTAATTTTTTTGGTGAATGAATATTGAGATGTGATAGCTATTGTTACTTCTACGTGGGATTCTTCACAGAACTTAGACCCCATTAAAATGGCAGGTGACCTCTGCTTGCCATCAGAATACACAGAAGAATTTTTAGCAGTATAGTAATTATTTGGGGGAGGGAGTGTGAGAAAAAAAAGCACAAGGCAAGAAGACATATCCTTTATCCTGGACTGAAATCAAACTTGAATAGAGCCTGGTCCATAATCAGAAAGTCATCAGAGAGTATATCTAGAATCAGCTGTTGGAAACCTCTACCTAATGAGAATTTATACTTTTGATTAAGGGTTGAAGTACATAATTTTCAAAACAACTTGGAAAAGAAAGATGTGACTAATAGATTAAATGTGAATTATACAAACTTTGACTATATCACTTGTATTTTTTTTGAAAATACAACCAGAAAACTTAGTTGGTATTTTCTTTTTAATTAATTATTTGTAATTCTAGGCTTCTCTAAGTACCAAAGTTCTTTGCATTTTATTTATTTAATATTAATCCAATAATTTTCCCTTAAATGATTCCCTTATTGTAGTTTTTTAATGCTAGTCCTTTTTACCATCATAAGCCAACTATTCAATTCAATATTTACTGTTAACAAATTGAAGATGGTTTACTTTGAAAAGTAAAACACTCAGTATTCTATTAAAATAGTTGTTTAAACCATGTATTACACCTATGTTTTCCAACCACCACAGAATGCCCCCAAATATTCCTCCAATACATGGAAACTATCTATAGACGTTACCGATTAATTGGGGGGAAAGGCCATCCTCATTATTATTTGAGGTGACCCAAGGAAAATACCAAGATTAAACTGGCAGATATATCACAAGAGTTGCCATCCAGAGCCAAGTTCCTGAACACACATCCTATTAATGGGAAAAAGAAAACTTGGATGTCAAATTCTTTACCAACTTGCTGCATAACCCTACGTCATACAATGTTATCTTGTGGAAGTCTCCTAAATTGCCTAAACTTTAGTTTCCTCATCTGTAAGAGTTCATCTCTAAGGTCCCTTCCAATTATCATGACCATGTGGTATCTTCACGAGCAAGTTTCACTTGGTCTAGAACAGACGGGGAATCAATTAGCATGAGGTGTTCCATCACTAGCCAAGAGGAAGACAGGTATGAAGGTTATGAAGAATTCTACTCAATTACATTGAGACTAGGATCTTCTAGTAAATATACCCAGAACATAAAATTAATATAAGTACTGATAAAGTATTTGTTAAAAATTCCATTCATCACATAGATTTCTTAACAGAAAAACAAAGTAACAAATACATTATTAATTCCTTAGCAATGAGCATTAGGTAACAAGAGTCATCCCCCAAATTTTCCAAGTGAACATGACTTGTCGATTTCTCATTTTTTTTCCAATCACCTGCTATATTAGTATATTTACTACCAAGTATTTGGAAAGGAATAAAAATTAGAGTCTGCTTATATTTTTCATTCTTATGATCAACAGTTCATCTAAATCTATAACAATCAAAACATAAAATGAATGTTCAAATTACTTTTGATACTTTTAGTGTAGGCAAAAGGGGAAAACAGCCAAACTTTAGCTGAATTGATCACATTACTCTAGAAATAAGTAACCAGCTTTTATACAAAATACTTATTTAAAAATAATATAGCTTTCCCCCCCCCAAATATTTAAAGGCAAATTCCTGTGCTTGTTTTCCTTAAGATCAGACAATTCCCTCCAAACCTTGCCAAAATTGTTTCCTGCAAAGTCTTTATTCTTCCTATTCTTCTAACCAGTATATAATGCAACAAGTTCATATATGAGAAGCTCTCTCTTCAGTAATACTCTGATCATGCTCTTTAAACATTCAACATGGTCTTCATCCATATAACTCAAAGGCAATCTGTCAGGAAACTGATATTTACCCAGCTCATCCCAGAGCTGCCTATATTTGTCCGTCATCGCAGTGCCTTGTTGCCTCCAAAGTGACAGACGAGGGTCAGCCATGAACTGCTCTGTTATCAAGGTCAACATGCGGGCCCCATTAGAGTCCCTCATCTTCAACATCTCCCGAACCTGTAGGGGAAAAAACAAACTGTTAGAAAAATGTTCAAAAACAAACAGCAATACAGACAACCAGTTTTCTTGGGAAAGGAGGCAGTTAATTCTTGACATCAGCCCTCTTAAGCAAACAAAAGTTGTTAAAACTGGTTTCTAACCTAAATGGTAATTGACTCAAAGAACTGATCCTTAGTGTGTGTGTGTGTGTGTGTGTGTGTGTATAAAATTTCAGAATTCAAATGAGGGAAGAAATTTCGCTAACTTCCCAATTCAAAAAACATTTTTTTTTAATTGCCAGTCTATAGAAAAGTAGCACAAGAACAAATAAGACAAATCACGTGGCACCTTCCTGACTTATCACTGGAAGAGTGGAGCCTAAAAAAAGCAGTCTACCCCTGGCCAGTTTGGCTCAGCAGTTAGAGCATCAGCCTGAGGACCAATGAGTCACAGGTTTGATTCCAGTCAAGGGCACATACCTGTTGCGATTCGTCCCTGGCCCTGGTTTGGGTCGTACAGGAGGCAGCCACTCGCTATGTTCCTTTCACATCGATATTTCTCTTTCTCTCTCTCTCTCCCCCACTCTCCAGTGGTTCTCAACCTTCTTAATGCCATGACCCTTTTTAATACAGTTCCTCAATAAAATTATTTCCACTGCTACTTCATAACTGTAATTTTGCTACTGTTATGTCTTAGGCGACCCCTGTGAAAGGGTCGTTCGACCCCCCAAAGGGGTCACGACCCACAGGTTGAGAACCACTGAAAAGTGGAAAAAATATCCTCAGGTGAGGATAAAAAAAAAGTCTATTAAGAACTCTTTAGGGATCTTTTAAATTGATCTCATGATGTTTATAATAGCATCTGTCCTTCAATTTTTTTTAAACAGCTTTATTGAAACAAAATTCACATACCATACAATTCACAATTTCAACTGTGCAACTCCTCATTTCTTTTTTTTGGTTTTGTTTTTGTTTTTTATCCTCACTCGAGGACATTTTTTGTTCAGATAGAGTGGGAGGGAGAGAGAGAGAAAGAAACATCAACGTCAAAAGGACACATCGAGTGGCTGCCACCCGCACGACCAACCAGGGCTGGGGACAAACTGCAACTGAGGTACACGCCCTTAGCGGGAACCGAACCCGGGTCTCTCTGGACCGCAGGCCGACACTCTAACTGCTGAGCCAAACCAGCCAAAGAGCAACTCCTCAGTTTTTGAGGTAAATTAGTAAAATCAGTAAATTCTCTCTCACTGAAGTTTTTTTGCCATAAAGAACAGAATCGGCCGTGGCTGGTTTGGCTCAGTCATCAGAGTGTCAGCCCATGGACCAAAGGGTCGTATCCTGATCAAGGGCACATAGCTGGGTTGCAGGTTCAATCCCCAGCCCTAGTCAGGGTCATGTGGGACGCAACCAATCAATGTGTCTCTCTCACATCGATGTCTCTCTCCCCCTTCCCTCCCTCCCTTTCACTCTATCTAAAAATCAATGGAAAAACACCCTCGGGTGAGGATTAACAAAAAAAGAGAACAGTATCACATGCACTCTGATGGATTGTTTTTGCAATGTTAAAAGGAAATGGATGAGGCTGTAGGTTCAAGAACTCTTTTGGCTCTAAATGAGCAATCCACGAAGTAGAACCATGGCCAATGACCTAGGAAGTTAACTTGGCCTCTCATGTTGGAACCTCTAGCTCTGTCCATTACTCTTGTACTACATTTCCCAAATAAAAGAAAGGAAGAAAGAAACACAAGGCTGACAGAAACCCCTAAATAAATACATCCATTCCAAAAGTGCACAGCTATGTGTTCAACAAATAAGAATCCCAGCTGAACACCAGTACCAGGTTCTCCGTACAGCAAATAACTGGAGCAAGCAAGGTCATGAGCAGTGGAAAAGGAGAGGTGGGTCCTTTAATTCAAGATTTTCTTTTTATGAAAAGCAAATGAAGGAGGAAATGACAGACCTTCAATAAAGCACCTCAAACCTCCAGATCAATAGATCCTGCCCCAGGCTTGTACCCTGACAAGTGATAGAACCCCATCATAGTCTTTAGAATTTGAGCCTTGTAAAGAACTCAAAAGCACTTCTATAGTAAGTAAATCACAAGGGTTGTGCTTCCAGGAAGGTTATTTCAGTAATCTTAGAAAGAAATTTGGAATATGGAAGCACTAAAAAGTCATGAAAAGATGAAGACTGGGAGAAAGAGAGTGGCTTGCCATTTACTGTACATGGTATTTAAGAGTTTTACATTTACACTTGTCATTTAATCTTTATAACAACCATATAAAGTAGGCCAGATTATAATCCCCATTTTACGAATTATAAAACCATGCCTCAGAGAAGTTAAACAACTTGCCTAAAGGACAAGAGTAGTAAAGGGTAAAGGGGATCAAATACATGGTGACAAAAGGAGATTTGAAGGGATCAGAACCCAAATCTGTCTTAACTCTACTTAACGCTGAGTTATGTCATTCCCCAAATCAGAAGTTGATGTTATTTCATATGGCAGCATATATAATGCATACATCATGTAGAGATAAACACTGCAAATGCAGGCCAGTCCAGCACCTCTTTCACAATGCTTCTATTAGGCCACAGTGTACTCTGCTGACATGAGACTATGAAATACTTCTTGTGTGTCTAAATATATAAACGTTTAGTAGTTACTGCTGTATCAAATTTGATTTAATGTTTACCTTCCTGATAAATTTTTTCTAGCCTATTACTCATCTAGAAATAGCAATGAAAGTAAGTACTATCAAGCATATAAACCAGAACTATTAACCACCACTCCAGTACTACATCTATAGCCTAATGGTAGTTAATTTTCAGACTGTTGACTTAAGCATTACTGGAGTTTGAAGTGCCTATGAGTAACTAAAGAATGATTAAATCATGTGTGTGTGGAATAGTTTTAGAGTTAAATGTATTTTGTTATAAACTTGATTATCAAAAAATTAGCAATCGATGCTATGGTTTACAGAATAAATCTTCATTAACAGAGTATGAGGAATCAGAGCACACTATTTTCTAGTCATAACCTATATCAGAGTTTACACTAATTCTTTTGAACTAAAAGAGCAAAAAACAAAATTCTTTTATTTATTATGAATATTAGAGGTTATTTAACAAAAGTATCAATGAACGGAGTTATCTGTTCCCTTAAAATCATTCTGAATATATTACCCACCATGATAGCTGTACCCTCAGTGAAAAGAGTGGTTTAATAAAATGCTTATTTAAAAAGCATTTTATCCAATATTTAGATTTGTGTTTATAGAACTAAAAGTTCTGTATAAAGCAAAAGATACAGCTTCTGCTAACACAGAACTAGTAACAAAGATAACTTTCTTAGGTCATCATATTTTGGTGATGAAAATTAACATCTATCTAGGCCCAACTACATGTTGGACACCATACTCATTTTAACACCAAGATCACAATTTGAGAAGATATGCTATTAGCTAATTTTACAGATGAGGAAACTGACTTGAATAACTTTCAAAGGTTCATATACTCAATAAGATTAGAACTTAGATTTAAACCGAGGTCTGTATGATTCCAAAATCTATGTTTTTAAAACAAATTTAAAGATACTGATATTATTAAACTAGAAATGCAATACACCTTTTAAGGGCTGTATTCAAGTTACAGGGGAAATTAGAAAAAGACAAAACTTGAATAGATGTCATTTTTAAACAACATTAAAATATTTATTTTGGCTTTAGTATTGGAAGATTTTTCAAAATTGTATAAATTGTCACCATTTTGTTAGAAACTGAGAGAAAAAAAGGTTCCACATTTTGTCTAAGGACACCTAAGCAAATTAATACTTGCGTTATAACACAGAAGTTTCTAATTGATTGATTTAGACTCTATTCTTTTAAAAAAATTAATTAAAAAGAGAAGTCTTTACACTACTACTGTAAACATGATCATGTAAACATACTTTCGATATATGTATATACTTAGAATATTTCTTTAAAAATAAACAATCATACCTTTGCAAAGAGCAAATTAAGCTGCTTCCCTGATCCGTGGTACCCGCCCTGGGAAAGGAACAGTTTAACCTGTTCTTGAACCTGCTCTTCATCTAAGTGCCAGCAGTTTTCATCATCTATACTAGCACCTGCTGTTGGATCAGGAGCACCTAGAATAAAAAGAAAAAAATAACACATGTGCTAGATAAAAACTGTGCTAAAAGGGCTCTGATAATAAACTTGAAAAGAATTAAGATTATATACTTTTTGTCTAAACACTTTTTAATTCAATCTCAATGCAATTATACATACAAATTTGTGACTTAAAATAAATACAAGAAGCATTCTTGTATTTCCAGGATTTTCCTAATTTGTGCTAAACCAAAATGCACATTACTTTGGAACTGAAATATTCCTATTTTTTTATGATCAGAGACTCTACCTTTGGAGATGAGTTTATAAATTCTTTAAAGAATAAAAAAGTCACTAAAGTCTTATTGTAAATATGTGGTGTGTATAAAGCACTACTGTGTGGGATATGTTAAGAAAATGTTTTTCAAAGACTTTAGAAAAATACAAAACCAAGTAAATTCAGCAGAGTATTTCTTTCTTTACTATGTTAATGCAAGAAGCCGTCACCATTATCTGCTGCTGTGTAAACTACATGCTTACAAAACTGAAGATTAAAAAGGGAAATCAAGCCACCTGGGAACAGGCAATACAGCTGCTGTACTAAACCAGGTTGTAGTATCACCTTGCCAAAGTGCATAAATATTTTATTGCTGAAGTACACACAAAAGATAACAGCTGTATAATAAGCCCTGTGTGTAGACTACCTTAGAAATTAAAAACTACTGACATATTTAGGCAGGTAAAAGTTACGTTTCATTATTTATTAAGAAAAGAAAAGAAAACGTTATTCAAAATATAAAATAACTTACATCTAATATAAAATATAATAATATAAAATAACTTACATCTAAAAACCTTTCATCAATAATGTTTCATCCCTTAAAGAGATACATTTGTAGGTACTGTTTCATATTACTTTTCTTCTTCTTCTAATGATCTAATGCAGAGTCAATAGGCCAAGGAAATAACCACTAACATCTGCTTAGAACCAGGTCTATTAGTCCCTAGGAGTAACAGTGGGTCGGTGAACCTCCATGAACCTCATTCATTCATATATTGAGTGCCCTCTGCTAGATTTGGAGATGGAATAATTTACAAAATATACAGAATTCCTATCCTCAGAATTTACCATCTAGTTCAATGGCTTTTATACATTTTTTTTTTTTACTAAGACCCATAATAAAAAATACAATTTACATTATGCCCAATATACATATGTATTTGAGTACTTATGTGATCACATCTATCTATTGATCTGAAGCACAGAACGAAAGAATACCCTTACAATAAGTAAAGAGGTCTATTTTCTATTTTAGTTCCATTCTTAAAAAGAGTTTGTCATAATTTTTTTAAAAAACTGATTTCATAACCAATAACAGGTTGCAACCCACTATATAAGAAATACTTTTTAGTGTGTGAGATAAATATCAATCTAATAATCACACATAAAAACTTATATTAATAAGTGGTAATAATTGCTCAAAGGAAGAAGTCAAGGTGCCAGGGGAGGCTAGATCAGAGAGCTCTGACCTCGCCTTGGAAAGCCAGGGTAAGCAAATGAGGAAATGGAATTTGAGCTGAGATTTGCCTTAAGTAGATTAAAAGTTCACTAAACGCAGGAAAAGGAAGGAATGGGTCTGCATGTGAGACGAGGCGTTTGCACAGAGATCTCAGGTGGGAAGGAATGTGGTATGTGGACAAAATAAAAAACAGTTCAAGTCCATGCAACAAAAAAGTAGCGGATGAGGAGAAAAGCAACACAAGACAACCCTGGAGTAGAGATAAGGGCCAGACCCTGAGAACCCTGGCAAGTGAGCTGTTTTTTTCCCCCATAAGAATAATGAATGGGAATTTATGACAAGGTTATCCAAACTGGAAGAATGGAATACTCTAGACAGTAAGAGGTGTTTGTCCTGATGTACATCAATTTCAACATTCCTACCATGAAATATTAAGCAGCCATAAAAATAAATGTGAAGATTCTGTATCTACTACAATGGAAAGATATACAGGATATACTTGTTGCTTGAAAAACAAAAAGTGAAGAAAAATATGCATAGTGTACCACCTTTTGTATAAATAATGAAGATTTAAAAATAGCTTTTGTATTAGGATTTCCTTACATATGCATAAAATATTTTTAAAGAATGTTTACAATGAGTAACCTAGTTACATGAGGGAAGAAATTCCTTCACTGAATACCTTTTCACACTTTTAAAATTGTGAAACTATGTGAGTATAGTTATGTATCTAAAAAACATCTCTCTAAAGTATGGATGATGGATTGGGAAGCAAAAATATATGAGAACAGTGAGGATGACATTCTGATGGTCTGGACAAAGGATGAAGCAATACCTTGAAAAAACAGCAGTGAGAACAGAAATGGAGAACCTGACAGGAATTTAGGACATAAATCAATAGGACTTGATGAAGAAGTGGACATGTGAGGTATGAGAAATCAAGAGTTGAGAGACACATGGGTTTCTAAACAACTAGACAAAATACTGGAAACTCACTGACACACAGACCATCACAGAGCAGGACCAGGTTTGGGGTGGGAGAGGCAGTGTTTGGGTCATGAGTTCAGATTGACACATGATGCGTTGGAGTACCTTTGAGACAGCTGTGAGAAAGGACAGGATATCAAGTAAGAGCTGGGTATACTGTGGTAGGCAGTATGGGGTAAAGACCATCTAAACTGGAGCCCTAAGGAAGGCCAACATTTAAAGGTCAGGAAAGAGAATGAGCAAGGATGGAAGTTAAGGCAGAGAAAGCTGTTCCAAGTAGGGATTAGGCAACTAGGTAGATATTCAAGCTCCCAGAGAGCAAGGATTTTACCTGCCCTGCTCACCACCACTTCCTAATACCTAGCCAGTGTTTGCCACTATCAGGCAATCAAGTATTGGGAGGAAGGAGGAAAAAGAGGGAGGGGAAAAAGCATGCATACATCCCACACCCTTGAAAATGATTCCTATTAAAAAGGAATCACTGCTAAAGTGTCCTCACACATACTTCATTACCTCATTTTTCTCCTCACAATGTCCCTTGGAGGTGAGCCTAGATCATCCTGATCCCTATTCTACAGCAGGAGAAACCGTTTCAGAGTAGTTATGACTTATCCTCAGCCACACTGCCAAATCCAGTCTCCTCTTTCTCTCCCCTGTGGTAGAATATATCCCAGAACCTTGGAGCTAAAGTCTGATTATTGGAGACATCAGAGCAAGATTTATGAACCCTAAATCAAAGATAAATTTAAGGAATGCCACTAGGATGTTTGCAGGCATTCGTTAGCACTGTTTTCTTATACAGAAAGACTTGACACAACAATGATGTGAAGAGTTTACTGGAGCTACATCTGAATCCCACAGAGATTCAGAATCCCTAATCCAGCCAATTGCCTTGATTCTAGCAAAAGACAGACACAGACACACAGTCAGATGAACAGACAGACACATGCATGCATCAGAACAGACTTCCCAAATAATTAAACTCCAGGGTCTCAACTTTTTAATTTCAGTTCCCACTATCTTCCTAAAATCCTCCTGGGAAATCTGACATATCCCTCCTTATCCTCTTCTTAGGGAAAATTCTGACAAGATCATGATTATGCACTCCCCACTGTTCCCTCTGATGAACTGAGCCAAATCTGATTTCTATCCTCACAGTGGTGTTTCCCCCAATTTTTATGATTTTTTTTTCTTTTTCTTTTTATCCTCACCCGAGGATATTTTTCCATTTTTTGTACAGATAGAGTGGGAGGGGGAGAGAGAGAGAGAAATATCGACGTGAAGGGACACATCGAGTGGCTGCCACCCGCACGACCAACCAGGGCCGGGGACAAACTGCAACCGAAGTACGTGCCCTTAGCGGGAACCGAACCCGGGTCTCTCCGGACCGCAGGCCGACGCTCTAACCGCTGAGCCAAACTGGCCAGGGCCTTTTTAAGTTGTTTTCTATTGGGTACTGAAGGCCAAGACCTACAAGGAGTCCTGTCCCAGAAGGACATGGATGCAGGCTAACAGTCCTGTGGTATGACAGAGGCATGCTATCCTCCGCTGCTTGGGTCAGAGCTCTTTGAGGCTTGAAGTTTCTGTTTGCCACGGAAATATCCAGATATTTTAAGTAGATTTGAATTTGAAGAAAACCCCAGGGCTTCTCCTTGGCTTGAAGTGGCAAAGGGATTGACATTCAGATATTCTCCCAAACTTTAGGATATACTAGAGTCTTGTATTTTTCCTACTAAGAAAAAGAATCAGGAATCGCTTTTATTTGACTTGAATTACACAATGAGTTGTTCCTTAAAATCTAACAGGTTTGAAAGCACTATCATATTTTAAAAACATACAACATATTTAAAATGCCTTTAATGAATCACTTATATGCATACATATTTTTATTCTTGCCCAGCTTGAAAGCTATCTAATAGCAAATGTCTAAATACATGAATTATGTTTCTCAAGTTTTTAAGAAAATCAAGCTGTGGTTTTTATTTGGTGGGAGGTGTACTAATATTAGAATAACTTATTTCTTGAGCATATGGGGGAGGGCAGGGGCAATGCAGAAGGAAAATGGCCCATAGACAAAATTTTACTGCAAATAAGCTAATAAAATCTCCACACAAGTTGAGAGGGATGTGTGCAGTTCCTAATCCTGGATTAGAATTCAGAAGTCTTCACTTCTAGGCACAGTTTAGAAAAACCATGTCCTCCCGCAAATCACTTTAGCTCCTTAAGCCTCCACTTCCTCAACCCTAACATTCTATAACGTAGGAATAAAAAATTAACTAGGTAATAAAAATTAGAAATCTCATGTAGCTCTGTAGAAAACATCCTCACTTGGTCATAGCAATACAAGCAAAGGTAACTAATTGATAAATAAACTTAATACAACTCAACATTTTAGGAGTGAGACATGTATACTATATATTATAGACCAGAAAATTAAATGTCTACAATGATAATTTCCCTAAAGTAGCAAATTCACTTATTAAAATTTAATGTTAGAATTTAATCAAATCCTAATGTCTTGATTGTATGCA